CAGTGATAATAGGCCGAGGTAGAGTAGGAAATAGAGAAAGAGGCTTCTCCAAACTCTCTGAGCGGCTAATCATTTGGAGTGCGTGCGTACCTACATTGAAAATTAAAAAATACTTATGCTTGGTGCAATTAGCCAGTCAATCAGTTATCTATCTACAGTGCGTTAGTGTTTAACGAGGTGAGTCGTTATCGCAGTACGCTCAACTTAGCGTAGCAGCAGTAGCTTTAGTTTCAAGTGACCAGTGGAGTGAGACGATTAGTATCAGTTACGACGACCTCAGGTGTTACATTTTATATTCGTGTGAACGTCTTGCTTCGAGTTAAACGTAAAAGTTTTTAGTGAGAGCTGTAATTTTATAAACTTAGCAACATGTCTTGTGCGGAAGCAAGTGAAGTGGTTTGCAAGAATAGTGCCATCATCAAGCTGCTCAGATGCAAGCCAAAATCCCAACACCGACAGCAGCAACCTCATCGTCCGCACAATGGATATTTAAAAACTGTCATGGGTGGCGGTCTTGCAACTTCACCATCGTTTAAAGTAAAGGTACTGGATTTTTATTTTAACAGCTGCAATCAGAATGAGCGCGCAACCGCTCATAAATTTGATATCCATCGGTACCAACTACAGAAGTGGCTCCAAAACGAGAAGACTGCGTGAGTCTTGTCTATACAGAGTTAAGTTGGCCTCAAGCAGCGAAGTTGCTGTTCCAACTCCATCGGCCTTGAGTCGCAGATTTGACAGACTGCAAATAAAATCTGCAAGCTCTACCTCCTCGGTGAATCGTGGACGTTCGGACGAGGAGGATAGTTGCGAGGAGCATTCCTTCATCCGTCCGGAGCGGGTTCGCAGCGGCAGCTGCGGAACGGCCGCAACATATGATATAGACCAGGGCAAGGTACTGGAGGCTTTGCTGCCATTGAGTGCAGCTAAGTCCAGTGCCCCGTCGCCAAACAGCCAAACGCTAAAAACCATGCAAAAATGCAAAAAGTGACAGTCTTTCGTGCCAAAGGCTAGGCCTTAGAAATTAAAATACTAGATGCCTCTGCCATCAATAATAAATTTGCTAGTAAGGCCAAGGCACGCAAGGTTGGCCTTACCCTAAAAAAATGGATGTTGGAAGATAATGACGTCAAAAAACTTGTCAATAACACAAATATTGACACGTTTTAGCGTCCGGGACCAGTAGAAGAGACACAGGAGCCAGTCGTTGATTCACTTTTGGATAATGCGGATGCCACCGCGGCTTGCCCGCTGACGCCACCCAACAACAGCTCTAACGAACCCGAGCCGGACTGCAGCTCACCACCCGCTGTTTCAAGGTCGCGGAAGCTTCAAATGCCGTCCTGGTATTTACCACCAGAAGAAGACAGTGAACTGTGCGAGGGGAAGCGAAAAAAAGATTTTTAAGGACGTTTAACAACCTTTGTTGCGGGGTATGCGTGTGCATATATGTATGTATGTAAAACTTTGAGAAGCCATGCTGTATAACCACGCATGGCTTCAAAGATTATTATGCTTAGCAATATATTCACTTTAACTTGAAATTTGTATACATGAATAAAAAAGAATCTATTTACATTTTTTGTTATTTTATTTTTATTATTATTTTTAATTTTTATACACTTTTAACGAAATTAAAATTGATTTTTACTTTTACTGCGTGTTTTGGTACAAATTGAAACAAAACAATCTATTAATACTCATTTTTAATTCTTACTTATGAATGTATTTTAATTTGTTGTTTGTTCAACATTTTCTGAGTCATGTGAATTTAACATGGAATAGAATGTAAATATTTGATGATATTTATTTTATAAAACTGATCCTTTATAATAAGATAATTTCTGTATAAAGTAACTACGTTGAACTGTACAAAATAAAACTTTTGTAAATGACTACCATTTCATTTACTACATCGAATCCATTTATTCTCTACATCCATTTCAGACCTCCTGAGTATCAAGAAGAATTTTTTATAGTTATAATTAAACCGAGTTAAACTGAACCTGCCGAAAAAATTGTGAGACTTTTTGGTTTCCTACCATATGGGTTAGAACCAAAGGGGTAATGAATATACATACGACAGCCTAATTATTTGTAACGATTAAAATGAAATAATGAATAAACTTATGTGTGTAGGATTTGTGAAAAAACAATTTAATCAATCTCAATTTGAATAACTAAAAAAAGGGCCTGGCAAGTGATGTAATAATTTTACAATAATTTTACTGCATATCCTCTGATTTATTTAATGCAATGATTGTCTGCAATTTTAGTATGAAGCGCTTAATATTATTTAAATAATCTACTAGGTAATAAATATTTAATTGTGGTATTTTAAACACATTGTTAATTACACACACACAAAACGATTTCCAATGATGATGCCAAAGCTTCATTTGATAAAATAGTATTATACCCACACAAACGAGCATAAACATTTTCCAATATACTTTTAAATGTTATGTCACACTAAAACATAAAAACTTGTCAATTAAAAATAAATTTCATCACTTTGCTCGTCTATAATTTATGCAACGTAAAAATTGAAATATGAAACATACTTGTGCAAATTAAATTAAATTTGGTGCCAAATTATCCGAAATTCGTAACAAGAGCGTATTGAGCTTACGTAAGAAGCATTATACAAACGTGTTTTGTAAAATCTGATAATATTGAATCATATAATAAAATACTAGGTTACCTCAGTATTTAAGCTTTCCAGTTCGAAGCTATTACATAATCAGGAATGTATACAAGTAATGTGTGGCATATCTGACAAAAATAATAACATTTAACATAATACTTACTGCACTTGTTTGATTTTAATTTATGCTTAAACTTTAAATGCTACGATTAACTGATGCATGATTCAATATTAAAAAATTTTATGATTTCGAATGTTAAACTGTAACGTGAAAATTCACAAAATACCGTGGCGCGTACGACAAATTCTTGAAAAATCAATGTTCTGATTTCAACAAAATTTCAAAGAAAAATGTAGATAGGGGAAATTAGATACTTTTAAATAAAACTTTACTGCCCAAATTTTTATTTTAAACTTCTGTTTGTTATAAAATTGTTCATTAGTCTAGGAATAGTAAAACAAAATAAATTGGAAATATAAAGTTGTAGTTTTTTTATAACTCTGCAAACTTTCATTTATTAAGCTGCTGGTAACGTTTTGTCTTATTTTGATGTAGTCTGAGAAATAAAATGTTAAAATTAACTGCAGATTAGAAACCATTTTTCTTGTTAGTGGCATTCCAACTTATTAACGATATCATTTTAGTTTATTACAGAATTTTTATATAGTTTTCAAGAGTAACTTTTTGAAACATACATGTAAGATTTTGTCATAAACAGTTATCAAACTTCCTCGGTGTGTCAGCTAAAAGCCTGTCATTATTGTTTAAACACAAGTACATAGGGTTTTCAACCTGCAGCAATCGATTTTCATAGTTCTGTTGAGGCAGGGCAAGAGCAACCTTATCTGGTGAAGACATATTTTTCGAATAATCATTTTCTCTTATTAAGTCCACTTCCTTATTAATGTTCTCATACTCTTGGTACAGTTTCTCAAAGTGCGCTCTCGTATTTTTATCTAAAAGCATACCAATATTTTTGGACAGTTTTGTGAATGATGGTCTTAAAGTTGGCTCGTCCTCCCAGCAGTTGAGCATGATATTGTAACTCTCGTACTTTTATCTAAAAGCATACCAATATTTTTGGATAGTTTTGTGAATGATGGTNCTTGATTTATTTGATGCAGTGGTTGTCTTCAATTTTAGTATAAAGCGCTTAATATTATTTAAATAATCCACTAGGGAATAAATATTCGATTGTGGTATTTTAAACACATTGTTAATTACACACACACACAAAACGATTTCCAATGATGATGCCAAAGCTTCATTTGATAAAATAGTATTATACCCACACAAACGAGTATAAACATTTTCCAATATACTTTTAAATGTTATGTCACATTAAAACATAAAAACTTGGCAATTAGAAATAAATTTCATCACTTGGCTCATCTATAATTCATGCAACGTAAAAATTTAAATATAAAACATACTGGTGCAAATTAAATTCAATTTGGTGCCAATTTATCCGAAATTCGTAACAATAGCGTATTGAGCATACTCGTGCTTACGAAATGCAATAGTTATACTTAAGATGCATAAAGTGTCAGCTTGTAAATCCGATTAATTTTGTAGTATTATATTGTAAGTAGCGTTATACAAACGTGTTTTGTAAAATCTGATAATATTGAATCATATACTAAAATACTAGGTTACCTCAGTATTAAAGCTTTCCAGTTCAAAGCTATAACACAATCAGGAATGTATACAAGTAATGTGTGGCATATCTGACAAAAATAATAACATTTAACATAATACTTACTGCACTTGTTTGATTTTAATTTATGCTTAAACTTTGAATGCTACGATTAACTGATGCATAATTCAATATTAAAAAAATTTATAATACCGAATGTTAATTTGTAACGTGAAAATTCATAAAATACGATACGGCGTGTACGATAAATTCTTGAATAATCAATATTCTGATTTCAACAAAATTTCTAATAAAAATGTAAGTAGAGAAAATTAGATACTTTTAAATAAAACTATACTGTTAAAATTTTTATTTTAAACTTCTGTTTGTTATAAAATTGTTCATAAGTCTAGGAATCGATAAACAAAACGAATTGGAATTATAGAGTTAAAGTTTTTTTATAACTCTGCAAACTTTCATTTAATAAGCTGCTGGTGACATTTTGTCTTATTTTAATGTAGTCCAAGGAATAAAATGTTAAAATTAACTGCGGATCAAAAACCATTTTTCTTGTAAGTGGCATTCCACCTTATTAACGATATCATATTAGTTTATAACAAATTTTTTATACAGTTTTTAAAAGTAACTCTGTGAAACATACATGTAAGATTTTGTCATAAACAGTTATCAAACTTTCCTGGTGTGTCGGCTAAAAGTCAGTCATTATTGTTCAAACACAAGTATATAGGGTTTTCAACATGCAGCAATCGATTTTCATAGTTCTGTTGAGGCAGGGCAAGTGCTACCTTGTCTGGTGAAGACATATTTGTCGAATAATCATTTTCTCTTTTGACGTCCACTTCCTTATTAATGTTCTCATATTCTTGGTACAGTTTCTCAAAGTGCGCTCTCGTACTTTTATCTAAAAGCATACCAATATTTTTGGATAGTTCTGTGAATGATGGTCTTAAAGTTGGCTCGTCCTCCCAGCAGTTGAGCATGATATTGTAACTGAGAAATATATGAATAAAACATATTAATGATTTAAAAGATAAACTATTTAGATAAAAGAGCTTTTATTTACTAACAGATATTTTGTTGCATATCTTGGTTGGCCCATCCTGTATCCGTTAATGAGTTTTTGATATACTACTGAGGCTTGCATGCCTAAGTATGGTGTCTCTGCAAGAGTAAAAAACTCCCAGATCACAATACCAAATGACCAAATATCGGATTTCGTTGAAAATACTCCGTCCCTAAGGGATTCGATGGCCATCCACTTATACGGCAATTTTACATCGTGTAGCCTCGTATAATTGATGTCTTTGTACAACGTCTGGGCCAAACCAAAGTCACAAATCTTGACGATGTTATTAGTAGATAGCAAAACATTTCTGGCAGCCAAATCACAATGTAAAACCTGTACATGTAGAAACACCCGTAAAGTAATAGACAAAGTATGTACGAGTAGTAGTTTTGTATACATATTCTTACGTTTCTCCTCGATAGATATTCCATGCCATGAGCTACCTGATAAGCCCAAGAGAGGAGGTCATGAGACCAGATGCATTTAGCATTCCAGTTTTGATAATTGCCTTCGTAGTTAGAACGCCAACTTGGTTGTAAATCGTCACAGTAAGAGGCACTACGGAACTCAATAGAATCGTTGGAGTTCTGAGCCTTGGTAAAGGAAAAGTTTGCATCACTGTTGCTGAATGCCGTTTTTAGATGACTGTATGATTCTGAATCCACTTTTTTTGTTCTAGTTATTAAAAAGAGTACATATATATGTATGTGATTCATTCAAACATCATCTGTGTAATAAAAAATCGTACAGTTCACAATCATTATTTTTCTTTGAGTATTTAATTTTGTAATAATTTACATTAACAAATAGCTTTAATCTACAATATTTACTAAATCAAAAAAAGTAGAGAAAGACGCACTTTAAAGTTTATTAAAGTACAAAGAAATAAACAAAATATATACGTCAGTGCCATATTTTTCTGACATAGTACAAAAAGTGTANAAGGCAATTTTACATCGTGTAGCCTCGTATAATTGATGTCTTTGTACAACGTCTTGGCCAAACCAAAGTCACAAATCTTGACGATGTTATTAGTAGATAGCAAAACATTTCTGGCAGCAAAATCACAATGTAAAATTTGTACACGTAGAAACACCAGTAAAGTAATAAACAAAGTATGTACGAGTAGTAGTTTTGTATACGTATTCTTACGTTTCTCCTCGATAGATATTCCATGCCATGAGCTACCTGATAAGCCCAAGTGAGGAGGTCATGGGAGCAGATACATTCAGCATTCTAGTTTTGATAATTGCCTTCGTAGTTAGAACGCCAACTTGGTTGTAAATCATCACAGTAAGAGGCACTACGGAACTCAATAGAATCGTTGGAGTTCTGAGCCTGGGTAAAGGAAAAGTTTCCATCACTGTTGCTGAATGCCGTTTTTAGATGACTGTATGATTCTGCATCCACGTTTTTTGCTCTAGTTATTAAAAAGAGTAAATCTATATGTATGTGATTCATTCAAACATCATCTGTGTAGTAAAAAATCGTACAGTTCACAATCATTATTTTTCTTTGAGTATTTAATTTTGTAATAATTTACATTAACAAATAGCTTTAATCTACAATATTTACTAAATCAAAAAAAGTAGAGAAAGACGCACTTTAAAGTTTATTAAAGTACAAAGAAATAAACAAAATATATACGTCAGTGCCATATTTTTCTGACATAGTACAAAAAGTGTAATTTAATCAACTGTTATCTATTTGTTAAAAATTTTAATTAACACATTAAAAGACTTTGATAACGTCATCGCAGTGCTTGTATGTAGCCACTTAAAAAAATTAATGAATTTTATCAAACCGACTCGAAATGTTATTTTGATAGAGCAAAGTCAAAATACGTATTAACGATGCTCAATTTTTAGAAAAATCTAAAACTGTTATTTTCAAAACAAAATATAATACTGTTTTTACTTTTTACGCATAACTTCCATTGATCATGCATTTTATTGCATCATGATAAAAAAAATTTCGCATGTTTGACGACACAAAAATTGTACCATCATGCAGCCTGTTATTTCATTATAAATTCGAATTTTAATTGAAGGAAAAAAAACATAAAATAAGTACCTTGTGAATTTTTGATTAATAGATAAATTAATGTGACCTGTAAATGGATTAATTTGGTCTACGAAATTTTCTCTATGATATCTCAAAAAGTCTTCCAGGTTTCCATAAGCACACGATTCGAGAATCACTAAAAATTCACCTACAAAACGAATTGCTTTTTATTTAAAAGTGTCAACTATTATTTCAAAAAATGCCATAAGAATTCCTACGTTTTGCAATATTTTTTGTACAGGCACCAAGAAGATTTACTACGTTTAAATGTTGCCCCAGATTCATCATAATTTTAAGTTCTCTTACAAGAGCACGGATATAAACTGGTTCAGCATTTTCGTGAACCATTTTTACAGCCACACTCGTTACAGGCTCCGTGGCACATATGCCAAAAGCTTCTGCTTTTACTACAACCCCAAAAGCTCCACTTCCCAACTGTTCACCTGTAATTTTAAATATCACAATTTGTTCATTAAATTTGATTATCATAGCTATTGCTACACGGTAAACTCATGTTTCATACCTAACTTTAAATTTTCTCTAGAAAATTCCCACTTTTCATCATATGGAAGATACTCGGCCTGCTCGTTGAGTTTTAGTTCTGGATTTATTAAATCGACGGCTCCTTCTTTAAAATAAGCCAAACCAACTTCTGATTGCTGCTTCCTCATTATCTTTTTACAATTAATAAATTATTAATGATATTTCTAGAGATTTTATAAATTATTTAGAACTTTTAGTACCAAATATTATCTTACCTTTTCATGTTGTACTTTTAAACAAAAGTATACAGAAAGTAAAATAAGAATTGTGATGAAACAAACTACCATTGCATGTTGAAGATAACGTTCTTTAACCTCTAAAATCATAATTTGTTGTAAATGAATATTATCCGCGGTAAAAGTTTCTACAATTTATTTAGAAAACTATTTCTCAACTTTAAAAAAATGAGCAACTTTGGTGTTAAACCAAGATAGCACAATCGTGTAGAAATGTCACGCTACTATTCTGAAGCTTTTAGAACATTTATTATAAACGAATTTACTGTTTGACAATTGAGCTATAATCGAACAATTTATATTCTCTTTCATACTTGTTGTATGATATGAGATATAAGTATCCACTTTGTATAATAAGCTATTACTAACTGGAAATATAGATTTAAAAAGAAGATTGTGATGCACAACAGTAAAATATTCATTACATTTTTATCGAAAAATATTTAATGCAAGTTAAAAATTGAGCCGTAAAGAATTGAAAACGGGAGACTAAAATGTTGAAAAATATCCGAAAATATGGAGAAAACTTTTTTAAGAATAATATCAATTTTTGACTCCGTTAATTACATTGTTCATGAAAATTAAAGAAATAATTCTGAAAATGTATAAGCTATTTACATAGTAGTAATAAGTAATTTATACTTATCAAATTTAATACCTCAACAATTACAGTGTTTCTATAATGTATAACTTGGATGTAAATTAGATATAAACTAACTTTAGTATCAGTTTATAGGTTTTTCTAGTGCTGTCTTTAAATTGATTTGATACTCAACTATTTGCTAAGTATTTTTAAAAAATAAATACATCTTTAATCAAATTTTCTTGATGTGCTTAGATTTTCTGTTAATAAATAGAAGTCAGTTTCAAAGTTTTATTAATCCAAAAGTTCTCGAGACCTTGTTTATTTCACGAATGAATGATTATTGATACTGATTCTATAAAATACACATCCGAATATAATTTTTTTCGTAATATCTTATTGAAATATGAAGAAAAGATGATAAAAGTAAGGTTTTTTTATTTTTGCAATGATTGTTTGCGTCCCAATTCTTTGGATATATTACTCTTTCATGCGCACGAAACACGTTTTCCAGCTTGAAGGTGTAATTGTATGGTGTAAATGTAATAAGTATTTAAGGAACATTTTTTCACTGTGTAATTAGCTCTGTAGGCCTTTTTTGTAGACTTAAAACCGCAGCCTTAGTACTGTTGACCATCTTAGTTATGTAATTAGTAAAGCCAGAAAAAAAGCTTTTTTCCCCTGAATAAAGGGGTTAATGAAAACTTTCAGTGAGAATATAAGAAAAACAAAATATATCAGTGAAAGTTATTTTTATAGTCAATTGTATAATCATGTATGATAGTTAAGAAATAGAAATTTAATGGTCTGCGAGTCCATAGAGGGCCTCCGTAATATTTCTAGATGTGCTCCTGTAGCCAATACAGCTTTTCGTACAAATAATTAAGCAACTATTAAACTTTTACTTAATCGTCTTGGACAAAATATCTTTATTGCTCAGGATTTGAAAATACAAGTAGATGATATTTTCAAGAAATACTGAAACTAATAGATAAACAAGCCTTGCTCTTTAATACACATTATCAAGTATTGTAAAGTAATTTAATTCTAATTTTCTTACGCAAGATTTAAAAAGCATTAGCTTTTTTCCGCCTAAAATTTTTTATGTAAAATGGTTTATCTTAGATTTAATTTTAAAAAGAAATTGGATATTAACTTGTATACAATACATTGTGACGAAATAATTTAGTATAAAAGGATTGTTTTGTTTAATACAAAGAATTTAAAAATAAATACATGTACTGATTTGTTTACCTGTTACGTTGATTTTCCGATTTTTTTCTATCCTCCCAAATCGGTTTTCAGCACGACAGGAATAATTACCGCTATCGCTTTCCACTGGATATCTTATAATTAATTTTTGATTATTAAATACAAGGCTCAATCGATCTTCCGAAAGATTCAAAAGTGCATCATCCTTGTACCATGTAATGTTTGGTCTTGGCGACCCTCCGACAAAACAAAATAAATAAATAATATTTCGAGCATCTGGTGTTAATACGATTGCACTGGTAGAATTCATATTATCTCTTGTGAAATAAGGCTCCTTGCACACTGCAAAGATTAGCATAATTTAACTGTAAGTTATAATATAATTTTCAAAAATTGTAATTTGATAATATAAAATAAAATTAGAAACAATGATAATAATTGTTTTTATTATTATTCAAATTTCAATCATTTTCACTGATATTATTTTTTAAAATATAATTTGTAAAGTTACGTATTTAGGTAACATTTAAAATTTAATTACGTTTATAATTAACATGGTATCTTATAATTTTGGTTGACTTTGTATCAGACATAACACTGCAGTGATAGTCTTTCTCATCTGATTGACTTATGTTATAGATCACAAGTTCTTTACGAATAGTAAAATTAGTCTTCTTCGAAGTAACATGCTCTTTTGCTGAAATCCAAATAAAATAGTATTAATTTTATGGTCAAGCAGAACATTTTGCAGGATTTCAATTTTTTAAGAAGAAAGTAAATTGAAACTTACCAGAATTAGTTATCTCTTGGAACTGGTCATCTAACCAAGTTACAGATAGATGGTTATGTTTAACAGCAGCACAGATAAGAGTAATATTTTCACCATTGTATGCTTCTTCTGGACCTATAATTCCGTAAGGCGCATTGTCGACTCCATCTGGAAAAATAGACGTAAAAAATTAATCTAAAAAATTTTCTTCAAAATAAAGATAGACCCCGGAACGTTATAAAATTCTGCGAACCGGTAATTTGAATTTTGTATTCCTTCGAGTCGCAATCGTAGGCATGGCAAGCCTCGCAAGTAATTTTTCCAAACGACTCCATGTTTACTTTTAACTCTGAATACGTCCCATTTCTACTTTGTTTACCCTTGGATTGTGAGATTAGTTTTAAATTGACATTAATTCTTTTTATTTAATTTTTTCATGCACTCATATGTATGTATATATATAAACAAAGCAAACCTCCATTTCTACTGTTTTACAAGTATACATAGAAAATAACACTGAATAATCTGGGCACATTTTGTAAAACCATGATATATTTGGTGCAGGATGGCCAGTGGCTTGGCAAGCAAACGTTGCACTCTCGTTAAGACTGTAAAAAGACTTGAGTTCTGCTTGATATAATATAACACGAGGCTTTTCTGCAAACGCAAAAAAATTTGTTATTAATATAGAGAATGGGCTTCGTGAGTATAATGTTTCTCTATTAAACGGGATAGCAGTAAGAATTTTAATAAAATTACCGTAAACTTTCACTGAAAAATTCAAGAGCTTTATTCCATTTGTATTGTTTGCTCGGAAAGTATAAATTCCCTCATCTTTCAACTGAACATGAGATATCATTAAATTACTCTCTAGATACTTCGGATATTGTCGTTTAAATTGAGGCAAACAGAAATGTTTACCAAAAACAATTTCTGTACCATTTGATGTAAGCCTAAAAATTTTAATCTTTAATGCTCAAAGTTTTTATGAATGATAGACTTTCGGAACACATTTATAACAGTATGAAAGTGCAACTATTACCACGAAATAGTTGGTGGTGGATAAGCATCAATGTTAACTGTAAGATACACGTTAAGACCAACGCTATAATCTATTAGGTCTCTGTTATTAGATGTTAGGGAAATATAAGAATTTGGATCTGTAACAAGAGATACGTTTAACAAACTTAAGTTTTTGCTTCTATATTTATAAAAAATCTTACAATTTAGTTATTCATAAAACTTACCGTGTACTTCTATAAATATGTTTGTACTACGATGTTCCTTATACGAAGATCTTACTTGGCATGTGTAATTACCCTCGTCCGCATAAGTAACATTTCGTATGATAAGTTTGGATGTTACGGAATCGTTGTTTTCATTTTCAGCCACTTGTATCTGGTCCAACATAAATTTGGAGGACTAATCCTTATACTTATTAAATTGTTTCCAAGAGCATTTAAATATGGTATAATATACACACTCTTAATTACTGTATGAATGGCTGCAATAATTGTGCATACACAAGTTAAAATTCTCTTACCGAATTTTGTGGAGTTTTCCAGGAGATAATGTAAGAACTTTCTACGTAGACTTCAACTCTACAAGTAACAGTCAATGAAGAGCCTACAAAAACTGTCTGCCGTCCTTCTATTTTTGCAGTTGGTTTACTCATGCAACCGTTATTATAGCTTATGGAAAATTTCATCGTCTTGGTCGTTATATCACCATCATAAGCTTTACAAGTTAAACTGGGAAATCGTTTTTTAGGACTGTTAAAGCTTACATTCTGTAGGATGAAACCAATTTTAGGATCAAAAAACGCATTCCTGTAAATAATTTCCTGCAATTTCTTATGTATTGTATGTTATTAATATTAGAATTTTCTATAAGTACACAAGTTTAAAAAAAAAGTTAATTTTACATCATCACTTGTTGTTAGAGTCACGTTGATTTCAGGCGAAGTCGTTCGGCACGGAAAAATCGCAAAGTAAGGGAAACATGCTACAGGAGATAGTAGTCTATGACTGTTTGGTTGGATGAAAGTACTTTCTTTAGCTAAGTAGAAATACACATAAAATACACTGAATTATCTTATATAAATTTAAGTAGCTATGATAGTAAATTAAATTTATTGTAGCTATGCTAGTAAATTAACTTTATTGAGTTAGTGAAATTCGGTTAAAAATATGTTAATATCAAAATTCTTACATTTAACATAAATATACATCCAACTGATACTTGAGTCATTTGTATCCTTACTTATTTTGCGTGCGATTTTCTCATTTAAATTAGCGCAACCATACCAACCGGAGTCTCCAATAAGAGTTGACTCTTTTAAAAACGTTTTTTCAGTGCTCATTTTTTTTGGGTAAATATCATAATCAGACATCATTATCTATTGACGTATATGAAATATTCGCATTTATTTAAGAAAAAAATACATTGCATTAAAATATTCTGTACACTAAATCTGTTCAACTTACACTCCCTAGATGATAAGGATCCGGATAATAGAACTTCACATATTCATTACTTGTGCATTTTATTTTCAAGGCTTCTCCTTCGTTTATTTCCAACTCAGTTACGTTGGGATGAAGCTGGGGCTTATCACCAGTGCAACCTACATGTACAAACATTGATAATTATAATATTTTATTAATAAGAGGTGATGCATATATAAATTCGAGTTATAAAAAATTGAATCACGTCAAAAAATTGTAATTATAAATTATGGCGTAAAAAAATTTGTTTAAGCTTCTGTGTATAGGAATACCCGTTTAAATATATGTTCTGCCCGTTGTTGTACACTGCAACGTACTTTCACAGTGTTTAGGTACGCATATATCAAAAATTGAGATCTCAAATAAATTTACAGTTTTGAGTTTATATATCAGGAGCTCATGGCAGATTTTCGGACCCCGTTTTTAAAAAGTGTTTAAAAAAAACTATTGTTAGAGCCAACTTCGAGCAGTTTGCAAACTGTTGAAAATGACGAAAATAAAATCCATCAAAAACAACTTTGCTATTTGTTTAAGTTGTCCGTTATATATTTATTGGATTTTTGTTACTCTAGTTCTATTGTGTTTATAGTTTTCAAGATTACATCGAAGATTTTTTACCAACGCTTTAGCTTTTTCATACCTGTTCATGTATATTTATCTTCATATCTTTACATACCTACAAATATGTGTGTATCACATTACTATAGATTTTTATATATAGTTATGAATTTGTTTTATAACGTAATCTATTCACTATAGATGTAGGTGGTTTAGGGGATAGGCAAAATGATTTAAGTGTCCACGGTAAGCTCTTAGTGCAACTTGGACGCGAACGCTTGCAGACGACGCTATCAACGTGTATATGTACATATACTTCTTGAGTAATCTCGAAATTGTTCTGACCTGAAAAGTTTTTTAAGTTTTTTCTCTCATCTGTCAACTGCACACATTTTGGCACCTGAGTTTCACTTATTTGACGCTGTGCTGGAGGCACTGCGTGCTACGCACCTAGCGGTTAGTAACGAAAGAAAAAAGTTTATCAATCAGGGATCTATAACTGTATGAAATTCATAACCATGGATACATGAACTTTTAGTCTACAATTAATGTATGGCCCAGGCATCCCATAAAAATATTCTTACTTATGAGTAAACCATATCGATTTGTAGACTTTTTTGTTATGAAATTATTACCAACTCCATTCACTACCACCACATATTAATATCACTATACTCATGGAATGCTCATAAGCTATACTTATCATGTACAAAGTAACCATCCTGTCATTTTTATTTCGTGTGTAGTGTTTCAAGTAGCCTTATGTAAACTTTTTAAACTATTTTAGTTTCTCGTAACATTGAATCATTATAATAAAATACTAGTATATATTGACTTCAGAATAATAAATGCACTCCGTGGATGGATTTTGAAATATAAGATGCATTTCTGCTGAACTACGAGTTAGGTTTTAATTCTCTTAACTGTATGAAATGAGCATATCTTACTAATATATAAAGTGAAAGCGCTAAAACCGTTGTAATCGCTAACCGCGAAAACTACTGAACCGATTTTGTTGAAATTTTGCACACTGATTCATGATACTTCCTAGATGGTTTTAGTATAGTTTTTATCTTAAAAAATTTAATAACAATAGCAATAAATGAGCTCAAAGTTTTGCCGAAATACACCAGCTTTTCACTTTAGTACAGTAAACTCCGCTAGGTGGTGTCGACATAAAATCGAAGCTACCTGCAACATAATTAAATAAATGTGGTTATAATAGGATGGAGCGTCTCCATCGTGTTGTATTTGAGCTTCGGCAGTTCAACGAGCTGTATAGAGAATGCTGATGATAGTCTTGCAGCTGGGTATCCTGGTTACGGACGACACTCTTTTTTAAGGGGGAAGGGACCTAGATGTCCATTCACCCTGAATCTCGACGAGTGCGATAAAAAAAAAAAAAATAAATAATTCCAACCTATGCTGTCTCTGCCACAATACCAGGAGACATATTACCAACTCTTCAGACTTTAGAGTTGTGTGGAAGTCCCACCATCTAACCTGGTGCAGTTAGAGAATTTGTGACTACAAATGTAAGCAAGGGAAAACAGCTCTGAGGGGCACACGGCACGGGCAGCCACAACGGCTACCTTTTTCGTCGTCGCGTCCCCAACGCGCTTACCGCCAGCTCTTCATCATCAGGAATAATAATAAAGAATAGCCTGGAAGTTTCACCACTGGGGCTTTTTAGGGCCATTATAAGTATTTACGTTCCCTACTTAACCATCAATTTTATCGGTTCTTTTTAGGATCCACCTAAGTGTAAACTACCTTGCCAACAAATACATTTTTATTACCATTTCCGGAAGCGATTCGTCGACTAAAAGACTATATTAACTAAAGACGGGCACTATTAAACCAAGTCAGCCATTCACTAGCAGACGTCACCTGCGGAACTGTTCTTCGCAAGGCTGGAAAATCCAGTGACCGACGACCCTATACTACCCTCTCGACTCTAAGCATTCAACCAGGAATCACTGGTCCTCTGCAAGGTCTGCGTTGGATAAACCTATAACAGCTATGAAGGAAAAAAGACTTGAGCCAACGGGACAGCCTCCACTGGACATGTATCACTAACCAATCTCCCCATCTAAGATAACCAAAACAACTGAATCTGCAAATAAAAAAGGTGCTTTAGACACTAACGTCTTCGACGTTATACCGGGAGACGCTGGGAAAAAGCACTACAACTAGCCTCAAAGCTTCGGACTTTGTAATTTTTCTCCCAATCAGTCTGTGTCTTCAACAGCAAGCCAGAGAAGATCACCCTGAGGTATCCAGGCACAATTGCTGTTAACTGCAGTCAAGAAAGAGTTAACTTAAGAAGCTCACCGGTCTTTTTTAGGGCCATCGGACGTCGAACTACCTAGCCATTAAATATATTAAAATTAACAAAGTTGACTGAAAATAGCCTTTAGGGGTCATAAAGGTCGTAAGCATGCCAATAGTCACCAAAGGGTATATTGGAAAAAAAACTTCGAATGTATCTAATAAATACAATTTGAGGCGTCAAGAAACTGACGCAGAAAATTTATCGAGATTGAAACAGCAGCGTCAAAATCGACAACTAAAGAGTCCATTACGTGAGAGATCAGCTTTTCATTGTACCCTCACAGCAATCTCTAAAATCTTTAAAGATCCTACTTCAGATTTTTTAATGAGTAGAAAATGTATTTGTGTTTTTGTGGCAAGAAAAATGTAGGGTTTATGGTTCAGGACTTTGTTGCTCTGGTAATAAAGTTGTGAGATATGAAAAAAAAAAATTTTTTTAATATAAATTTTTTGGGGGTTTAAAATCTTAACAGCTTTAAAAAATAGCCGTTTTCGTGAATTACACGGGAGAAACTGTAAATCAACGGCTTCTTATGGCCACCGATTATTTTATGGCATAAAGAACGCACGGTACCTTTCAGCATAATTATTTTTTTGAATTTTTACACCTTCTTATTTGACCAAATAAACTATATGGATTCCGAAAAAATATATTTTTAATAAGATTTTTGTTCTGAGATCTGTCAGTAATATGTGCGAAATTTCTAACTGAAAATGTTTCACATTACATGTCAACACACTACGGTGTTTTATTTAGCAAGTCTCGGGCGAAGCCTCGGGGGGCTGCTAGTTCTTTGTATTTGTTAACAGGGAGTTTTGAAATATGATGCAAAAATTTTACCTTGTTGTGCAAGCTACCATTAGTAAAGTTATTAAAAGGACTGCATATTGTAATACGTTTTAAATCACTTGGAGATTTTACCATCATGAAATGAATGTAGTTACATTAGTTAAGAGAACGGAAGATTTGATACATTCCATTTTCTTTCCTAATAAAAACGTTAGAGCAAAGTCTTTTCTTAAATGTTGCTTAGTTACAATTATTGAAAAAAAAAAATTATGCTTCTTTACTACACGCAGACCCTAAAGAAACTTAGGCACATCATAAACTGTTCAAATTCATTCTTACACAATAATAGTTAAATTTATAAGCATGAAAATATTTCGGATTTGCATCAGCTACAATAACGCAGGTAACTCGAGAGTTTATTAAAATTACTGTAAAAGTACTTACCTAAAAATAGGAAGATATTAAGGAACAGTGCCGTCCAGTGAAGTATCAAGAACAAGTCCAGCCATTTTTTAGAACTTTGTTTTACTCCCAGCAAGTTTCTTTTAACTTGCATACTAGAAATACTCATACTATAGATTTTTATATATAGTTATGAATTTGTTTTATAACGTAATCTATTCACTATAGATGTAGGTGGTTTATAGGGGATAGGCAAAATGATTTAAGTGTCCACGGTAAGCTCTTAGTGCAACTTGGACGCGAACGCTTGCAGACGACGCTATCAACGTGTATATGTACATATACTTCTTGAGTAATCTCGAAATTGTTCTGACCTGAAAAGTTTTTTAAGTTTTTTCTCTCATCTGTCAACTGCACACATTTTGGCACCTGAGTTTCACTTATTTGACGCTGTGCTGGAGGCACTGCGTGCTACGCACCTAGCGGTTAGTAACGAAAGAAAAAAGTTTATCAATCAGGGATCTATAACTGTATGAAATTCATAACCATGGATACATGAACTTTTAGTCTACAATTAATGTATGGCCCAGGCATCCCATAAAAATATTCTTACTTATGAGTAAACCATATCGATTTGTAGACTTTTTTGTTATGAAATTATTACCAACTCCATTCACTACCACCACATATTAATATCACTATACTCATGGAATGCTCATAAGCTATACTTATCATGTACAAAGTAACCATCCTGTCATTTTTATTTCGTGTGTAGTGTTTCAAGTAGCCTTATGTAAACTTTTTAAACTATTTTAGTTTCTCGTAACATTGAATCATTATAATAAAATACTAGTATATATTGACTTCAGAATAATAAATGCACTCCGTGGATGGATTTTGAAATATAAGATGCATTTCTGCTGAACTACGAGTTAGGTTTTAATTCTCTTAACTGTATGAAATGAGCATATCTTACTAATATATAAAGTGAAAGCGCTAAAACCGTTGTAATCGCTAACCGCGAAAACTACTGAACCGATTTTGTTGAAATTTTGCACACTGATTCATGATACTTCCTAGATGGTTTTAGTATAGTTTTTATCTTAAAAAATTTAATAACAATAGCAATAAATGAGCTCAAAGTTTTGCCGAAATACACCAGCTTTTCACTTTAGTACAGTAAACTCCGCTAGGTGGTGTCGACATAAAATCGAAGCTACCTGCAACATAATTAAATAAATGTGGTTATAATAGGATGGAGCGTCTCCATCGTGTTGTATTTGAGCTTCGGCAGTTCAACGAGCTGTATAGAGAATGCTGATGATAGTCTTGCAGCTGGGTATCCTGGTTACGGACGACACTCTTTTTTAAGGGGGAAGGGACCTAGATGTCCATTCACCCTGAATCTCGACGAGTGCGATAAAAAAAAAAAAAATAAATAATTCCAACCTATGCTGTCTCTGCCACAATACCAGGAGACATATTACCAACTCTTCAGACTTTAGAGTTGTGTGGAAGTCCCACCATCTAACCTGGTGCAGTTAGAGAATTTGTGACTACAAATGTAAGCAAGGGAAAACAGCTCTGAGGGGCACACGGCACGGGCAGCCACAACGGCTACCTTTTTCGTCGTCGCGTCCCCAACGCGCTTACCGCCAGCTCTTCATCATCAGGAATAATAATAAAGAATAGCCTGGAAGTTTCACCACTGGGGCTTTTTAGGGCCATTATAAGTATTTACGTTCCCTACTTAACCATCAATTTTATCGGTTCTTTTTAGGATCCACCTAAGTGTAAACTACCTTGCCAACAAATACATTTTTATTACCATTTCCGGAAGCGATTCGTCGACTAAAAGACTATA